CATTAACAGTTTGGTTAACCACAGACACTTCCAACTTCCGAATGGTCTGCTGGGTGGTCGTCGTTCGTATGAACTGACTTTCGGTAATCTGACAATTCACGAACAGAACTGTACCAGATAGTAGACCCATGGAGCTCTTTTGTTTCATCGAATGCACAATGTACAAGATTTTAAATCCATGGCAATTGAACTACATGTGTTTTTACCATAACTGTAAAATGTGGATATTCTCTATGCCTGGAGGTAATTGAGTTACTTCAAGCACTTAACCCAATTATCTCCAGGATAGAGAGGAGGAGTTGCACTGTTGATGTGGGAGTGTTGATGCGTGATTGGTTATTGTAAAAACTGTCTCAGTCTTCCACAAGGTTCCTATGGGAGTGTCCCTTGCTGGAAGACCTGCATAAAAGGCTGACATGTAGCCCCCATTAAACAGATCCTGCTTGGCCCTCAATACAGAGCTTGGTTTCGTACTTGGGGGGGTAATTTGTATGATTCCTGTTCGGCGCTTAGGAGTGTTCGGTAGCTGACTTCGGATTCAACGTTAACCCCTTCACCTACTCGAGAGGCCATTACAGTTACGTTAGCTGGGGTTGTGGATTCCAGCTTCTCCATTCTCTGGTTTAAGTTATTAATTGATGCCAGCATTGCTGACATAGTGGCTTGGATCCCAGCTAAAGTGGCTTACATGCTAGACCCTGGTAGAGGATTGTCTGAATTGGCCATGAGCCTCCTATATAACTCTGCCTTCCTGGCGGTGGCAGGATAATAAATGCCTCTACACCTTAATTCATTGGCAGTTTTGGGATAATCCATTACCTCATAGAACAGGGGTTTGATGTCTCTAGGTTTTCGCTTATGGCTGGGGCTACAGTTGGTGTAGAAGGTCTAGCCAGTGTACATGACAATGAGAAGTCCTCTCCTTGATCCGACAGGTGAGACATACTATAATGACATATGAAAATGTATTGCAGTAACATAGTAAGTATATTTCCTTGATTGACTCCTTTTATAAATGCCAGGAGGCAAAGAACTTAACTACATTTGTGGTGGTGAGGCCCTGCTAATTGCCAAGTGGCTGGATTGAGGCTCTAACTATGATTTGTTTTAAATGGTTTTTATTGTTTTTGCAGTAAAATTGCATGCATAGTGTGAGAAGCGAAAATCAATATAATGCTGCCTGCGCAGAGGCTCAGTGTTGTATAAAATCTTAGTTGCATATGTGCCTGCGAAAAGGCTGATTAAGGTTGTACCACCCAGTATCAGTCATCTGTATGTTCCATGCTTGTAATATCTAAACCGCTGACCTACGATTCACATTGTCTAGTGATGTTATTGTTAACCTCATGCAGTGTAAAATACAGTACAGGTATCGGGCAGGTTAGCGTGAGAAGCACTTTATCGCCTTCGCTGAAGCTTGCGCGATCCCTCATATGAGGTGGGTGCATTGTGTGAAGCGTGCAGATATGTGTGTTGCTGGCAGACAGGCAAAATGTCAGGAGAAACTAAAGCGCGGTTCCGTGCATCTAGATAATTGCGCTAGCTCAAAGGGCGTAGTAATTTCTAAGTTTAGTGTGGGCCTGTTAGTATACCGCCCGTTATGCCGCAGTCAGCCATTGTGTACCCAACAATAAACAGTTATACAGTTTGTAGTTATTACAGTATTATTAAGCGCGGTATGTGGCCTGCGTGTAGATGCTCGCTTGGTACAGGTTACAAATGCATATCCTGAAATCTTGAGCAGGTGTAGCATTAATGTCCGCCTTCAGCGGGGTGATGTATTAAAAACATAGAGGGCGGGTCTTCCTAGCTGCGGCTGCCCCCTACGTTTTATCCTAATGCAGATTAATTTATACTAGCAATGTGGTTTCATAAGAATAACATGTCATTAAGTGCATGCCTCCCATGACGGGAAAGGTGCTAAACATATGAGGGATATAAAATAACATTGACAGCACATTCTTTTGTACATTAAATTATAAGGATATAGATACTCCTCCTATGTACTGGGGTCTACAACTCTCTTACAGGAGGTTATGAATGCTTGGCCACAATAATAGCCTATGAAGTAAACCAGGCTGTTAAAAATGAAGGGCATGGAGTGATGAATAATTATCAGAGCATCTGAAGCAATAGCTCTGTATATGAGAAACAAAATGGAGGTAGTAACATCCTATAATGCGTCAATCTGAAATAAACTGTAGCTGGTCATGCAATATATGTAACAAGGTGTATCCTAAGCTGGGTCTATGCAACCACTGGAGGTGGTGTTGTGGTGCCCGGTGGTAAAGAATGTCCAGCATGAGGTCAGTGGCCTCTTGTGAGGCATCTGTGTGGGCTTTCCTCTGCTGTGTACTCTCGCAGGCTTATGCCTGGGGTGCATATAATTGCCAAGCTGGTCGCTCACTGCAGGGTCCCCCTAGCTCCCCTGGCGTGTCTAATCCCCTCTGTTCCCCTCCAGGCCTGCTCCGGCTGGTCATTCGAGGGTTCCACAATGCTGTGGGCACTCAGGGGCGTCAGCAGCCCAGCAGACTCCCCCCCTGAAAAGTCCTCGGGCCCCTCGTCCCCTGCACCTCCTCAACTCCTGCAGTTCCCCGTTGAGCTCCAGCCCCATTAGGCCTCACCCCTCTCCGGCCTCTTGCATGTCGCCAGCGCTTGTCTCCCCGGCCACCGGTCCGCCGGGAGTCCAACTTACCCCGACGTCATAGGGCTCACAGAGTCGGGGCCAGGCCTCTCGGACCACCACCAAATCCAGAGGTTAGGACCGGCTCTGTGCCAACCGTTTTGCTGCCCGGTGGAGTCAGTCTGTGGGATCCGCCACCCCTAAGGGTCCAGGCGCTCCCGCGTGGCTCCCAGTAGCGAGCGTGTTCCGCGGCCATCTTGACTCCACTTGAGAAAGGGCTCCGCCATGTGTGGGTCTTCTGCCTCCAGTCTCCAGAAAACGGACTCATGGGCCGGGATCACCCCCGCCGGCCCGATGGGGGGGGGCCGGGCCCGGTCCCCTCCTCTCTCGTCTGGGCTCACGGCTTCTGCGTGCAGGCCTCATGATTTCATTGTGCTCCGGCAGGGCAGGCTGTTCGATGTCGGCTTGGCAGATTGTGCTCCTGTGCCTCTCCCCGCTTGGTGCTTATGTCTGCCCAGGCTTCAGGTGAGCTTTTAGTGCTATATTTTGGTTTATTTAAGCGATTTGGAGCCGGAGCTGGCATGGATGGCTGCCGCTCAGCTCGGCGGCCCGGCCCCGCCCCCCCTCTAACTATGATTTGGTTCTAAGCTGTGCCATGAATCGATGGCGGGGTGTAGGCCTCTTGGTAGCAGCTAAAGACGGAGGAGAGGGGAAAGTATCATTCTAACCGCACCCCATGTGGAGTGTGCGAGACTCTAGCTATGATTTAGGATGTAGGGTGAAAAATACCTCTGTGTGAGGATAGGTGTAGGTCTCGCAGTGACAGTATTTAGCCTGAGCTTGGGGTCGCCTATCAGTTAATTGTGTTTGAAGTGAAGTTACCGGAGGGCATGCGTTCCTGAAAGTTAATGAGGGGTCTTATTCCGTGACGGGGTATGTGACTGGATAGACACGATTGCCTGTAGAATCTTAAAAGGGAATTGTACTTTTATAAAATTTTAACTTTTTTTAAATACCTACCTTTGTATATAGCTCCTTCACTTGAGGGGTAATAACAGTATTGGTGTCATGGACCTAGCGGATTGAGGGATTGAAGTGAGAGTCAACTATTTGAACTAGCAAGCCTTACGTTTATCTTAATGTTTTTTGATGTGAGTTTTATGAGAGGGCAGTAACGTATGATGGTAGAAATTTTAACGGTGTTTCTATATTATTGGTCATATCCGTGATGCATTGACTGTGACTTACGTATTTGTTCGTAGAATCGAAAGCTTATGTTGAAGTTTAGCTTACCAGCCTGGGTGGGAATTGTTATGTTGATAGAAGTTCGAACTGACATGATACCATATAGGTATTTCCTATAGCAGTTATTAAGTAGTTATGGTACCCCCTCTTTATATCTATTTGGACCCCGTAAATTCCCAACGTATTGTTTTTATGATAATATACCGTGGTTTACTGAAGTGAAATTAGAAACTCTGCCTGAACAATCAGAGAGTATAAGTCAAAATCTGGAAAGACATAAAGTAACATGCGCAACGTGTGTGGGTAACACAAAATACAACTGTTGGAATGATTATAAAAGTTCCTGCTAAACAGACACTATTTAAATAAGCATGATATTTCAACCTGAAGGGACCATTTAAATGTAACAAGCATAGGAAGTAATTTTGTTTGCCTATGTAGGCTTAGCAATACACAAATATATGGTTGTCATAAATGATTTTCGCCAGTAGATGGCTGTGTTGGCTCAGGACTCCATTAGTTTGAGGGAAGATTTTTGTGTGGTTTTGTTCGGATCATATGAGCGTCCATGTGAGATAACCGTTCGTGTAAGTTAGCCTATTATGCGAGTTAGCCATTCAACAGTTTAGCCGTATGAGAGTTTTAGCCGTTTGTGTATTAGCCGTTCCTGTAATTGCGGTTTATGTAATAGCCGTTATATGTGGTTTAGCTGTTTCGTGGAGTTTAAATCATTTTGTGTGATAAGGCATTTCGTGTAGTTTGGTCATTCTTATGAACTAGTCATTCACGTAAGTATAGCCGTTCATGTAAGTAGAGCCGTTCGTATGAGTCGGTGCGGTTTGTGTGTTTGAACGTGTTTTGTGAAGTTTTTACTCAGTGTTTCTGGGTGCTTGACAGCTGACCCGGAAGTGCGGCAGAAGTACCGGAAACATGGCGGTAAAGGTGCCCGAGCGGCTGCGGACCAGCCGAGGTGTTTGACTGTGTCGCGGATGCGCTGGAAGCCTGGTGAGAATCCTGGTTTGCATGAGGGAAGTACACCACGAGGGAGACTGTCCTTAAGAAACTGGAAGTGGAAGTGACCAAACATCGTCGACCCAGTATGGAGGTAAGCCTGAGTTTAAATAGGCCGGATCTCCCCCTCCCACAACTCCCGGCTCCGCCTTCCCATATATATATATATATATATATATATATATATATATATATATATACACATACAGGAAGGCAGAGCCGGGAGTTGTGGGATTGATTGATCCTGATGAAAGTCCTAAGAGAGGACTGAAACGTTGATCCTAGACCTTATGCTTTAATTCTTGTTGAATAAAGAAGATTTTTAACCGAAGACCGTGAGTGCTACCATCACTACTTTTCATTGGATATTTAAAGTCCCAGGTTAAGCACCCGGCAAGTATACTTTATTATTATAGCCTGAGTGCAAGGATTCTTCATTATTGTATATATATTATACCACACACATAGATGCTTTAGAGGCTATCATTTTAATCTTTCTTATTTGAGGTAATTGCTTTCAAGTCTTTCTTATTAGCTTTTTTTTCCAGTTTAGACACTAAAAAGTTATTTGACAAAATTTCACAACAACACATTCTTTAAGAATGTTGTTAGTGCAGTGGTAATACAGTTGTACTCAAAAGTTTGCCTACCCTGGCAGAAATTGTGACATTTTGTCATTGATTTTGAAAATATAACTGATCATGCAAAACAAAAATTATTTTGTTGAAGGATAGTGATCATATGAAGCCATTTATTATCACATGTTGTTTGTCTCCTTTTTAAATCATAATAATAATAGAAATCACCCAAATTACCCTGATCAAAAGTTTACATACCCTTGAATACAGACGGTGAAAACACACACAGGTTAAAATGGCAATGAAAGGTTAATTTCCCACACCTGTGGCTTTTTAAATTGCAATTAGTGTCTCTGTATAAATAGCTCTCATGTGGATGCACTGTGAAGACTAGATACTGAGCCATGGGGATCAGAAAAGAACTGTCAAAAAAAAAAAAAATGTAAAACAAGTTAATGAAACTTTTAAAGATGGAAAAGGATATAAAAAAAAAAATACCCAAAGCCTAGAAAATTCCAGTCAGTACTGTTCAATCAATTATAAAGAAGTGGAAAATTCAGGGATCTCTTGATACCAAGCCAATGTTAGATAGACTAAAAAATATTTCAGCCACAACTGTCAGAAAAATTGTTCAGGATACAAAGAAAAATCCACAAGTAACCTCAAGAGAAATACAGGCTGCTCCGGGAAACGGCAATGTGGTTGTTTCAAGGAGTACAATACAATGAAACATGAACAAAAATTAGCTGTATGGTAAGTTGCCAGAAAAAAAAGTTTTTACTGCACCAGTGCCACAAAAAAGCCCAGTTACAATATGCCCAACAACACCTTGGCACACCTTATATGTCTCAAATGTGCAGTTCATGCAAGAAAACCAAAGACTTTGCATATTCTGGAGGCATTGTGCCAAGATGAATGGGCAGCTATACCACCTGCAAGATTCAGGGATCTCATAGACAACTATTACAAAAGACTGCACACTGTCATTGATGCATAACAAGGCAATATACAGTATTAAGAACCAATGGTATGCAGATTTTTTAAGAGGAGTCATTTAATTTTTTTCTTTGTTGCCATGTTTTTTTTGTGTTTTTTTTTATGATTGTGCCATCCTTTTATAACCTTCAGTTGAATGTGAATCCCATAATAAATAAAAGAAATGTGTTTTACCTGCTCACTCATGTTTTCTATAAAAATTTAACATATATCACCAATTTTCCAAAGGAGACTTTTAAACACAGCTGTATCACTGCCTTAGTACTGAGAAACCCATATTTGAATCTCGGTCAGACCACCTCAGAAGTAACTGTCCCTGGGTAAGATACCTATTTACCTTTCCATCTCAATAATATTCAAAGTGCTTAATATCAAAAGCAGTGCTTATTTGATATCATGCAAAATAGTAGCAACTTGTGTAAAAATTGTGCAAATGTACGGCAAATGTTATTCATAAATGTGTACAAAATTATTAAAGTGCCAATATACACACTGTATAAAAAGTATTAATACTTCCTTTGCAATACTTAACCACAATACCTAGTTCAATTTTAAAAACATATAGTGTGATTATTGCAAATACACCAATGGTTAGAAGAAATTTGCTTATATCCAGTATCTGGCATTTGCTGCAGAAAACAGTGGACAGCTGAGATACAGTTGAACAAGCTTTATTCCAAATTTAAAATCTAAGAAGGCGCGTCATGAAACCTCTATGCTTCACCAGTCCCTTAAATTAACTTGATAAAGCCCTCGGTTATAGCAGTTGCCGGCACTCCTTGCTTACTGGGATGTACCAATAGGCGTTGTTAGCAACATCTTCAGTATGATGGAATTGCATAATAACTGTAATGATTCACTTGGCACCCCAACTGGGTACCTCCACCGACGGATGCTCCTAGTGCTTCCTGAGGGCTCTAAGCTTGACACCATAAGTACTGCAGACCCCATGAACCGCCACAGCTTGGTTGGGGTCTCGCCATCTCCTACCCTTTGACAAGGCTCCAGGATCCAGTGGATGAACCTCTCTTTCCCTAGAGAGTGAAGCAGGAACAGGAACAAGCTCTTATAAGAGCTTGGTGATTATTCAAAGGAGTATGAAGAGCATAGCAATCACATGTTGCAGATTACCCCCAATAAGAGACAGGACTCTATATTGAGGGTGAAGTAGAACAAACGGTTTATTGCCACAACCTGGAATATATATAGTTTTTCAGGCCAGATGCACAACCCCTGGCCCTGATGGAAAACAGAGACAAAAGGAACATAAACCAATGGGAACAATAATTAGCACTGTAACACTCCCACATACAATCAGCAAGCCCTCTGCCTGTGATATAATTAAGATAGATAATGTACTAACTGAATTATCCACACGCAGAAAACACACATTTTTACCCAAAGTAAAGAAACACCCCAAAACTCCAACATACCACCATAAATTATACATCCCTGATCTGGGTGAACAACATATCCAAAAATCACCCAGATCAGAGCAGGGGTTCAAGAAATTCCTGGTAATCTCTTTTGACCAACCGCACGCACATTTTCATGCCCAAAACAGTTCCAGGGAATTAGGTTGTGCGGCCGGTCTATTTTCAGTGTCTAAGTTCTGTTTGAATAGTCGAACGGGAACAGTTCGTGCAAATAGCCAATGTTAAAGTTGCGTTCGAATTGTCAAACGCCGTTCAACTCCCGTCGAAGTGTCAAAGTTCTGGATGCAATTCCCGGAGGATTACCACAGTCCAAACATGAAGGTATTGGTCAACAGGGCACTCACAACTAGCTTCCAAATCCACAATGGCACCAGACAGGTGCCTTGTCACAGATGCTGTTTGCTTTAATGCTGGACCCCTTCCTATCCACCATTCAAAAAGCACAACCGGTCAAGGGATATAAGGGTATGGAACCCAAGGTCTCTACATATGCAGACAACATGCTGTTCTATGTAGAAGAACCCCAAACTACTCTACGAGCGCTGTTGCAGGAATTTCAGAAATACGGTAAACTATCAGGCCTAAAACTAAATCTCACCCAATGTGAGTTCCTGAACATTAATGTTGCGGAAGGAATATGCACCCAACTAAAAACTGCTTTCCCCTTCCATTGGTGCACAGAAAAAATGAGATACTTAAGGGTAAGAGTACCACGCACACCACCAGAACTTTATCCTATTCCTTAGGACCGTCCAGGAAAACCTAAAAAATTGGAACTACGCACACAAATAAACATTTTGCCATGGTTTCTCTAGCTGTTCCACACCATCCCCTTGAGCCTGCCGAGGGACTTCTTTGCCATGATCAGAACCGTGGTGCTAAAGTATGTCTGGAAAGGAGAAAGAGCTAGACTGAGACATGACAAGCTCTGCCTACCGAAAGAATGGGGAGGACTCGCGCTACCGGACTTCCACAAGTACCACCAAGCAACAGTCCTGCAACGAATATGTGAATGGCACGCAGCTCCAGTGCACAAATTATGGTTTGCCTTAGATAAGGCAAGCACCGAAAAAACCCTATACACGTCGGTGTGGTACAAGGACATGGGTGCAACACCCATCTTGAACAGCTCCTCGCCTGTTTTGAACACGGCAAAAGTTTGGAACAATATGCAACATGAACATTGCCTCTCCCCAAGACCAAGCCCGCTGATCCCCCTGACTTACAATAAGGAGCTGAGTGAGGGGCTTCCGCCTTGTGCATTGACATTCGCGCAACAAACCGCACTTAACAACACCGGGGTGAGAGACCTCCGAGACCTGATGCAACAGACCCCCTTACAGCAGTTCCGTTACTCTCAAATAGAACACTTCTGTTCCAACCTGCTGGATAAATCCAAAGTACACCGGGACTTAACATGGTTTGAGGATCTCTGTAAGAACACAACTGGCTCAGACTCTAACGTCTCCACCCTCTACCAACAGCTACTTAGACCGCAAGAACTCCTTTAAAAGACAGTGGGAAGCGCTGACATCTCAAACCTTCTCTGATGCTCAATCAGCTCTTATGGGAAACGTATGAACGATTTGTTTCAATCCCTGGGTGGCCGCCATTTCGGGACTTTTACACGTGTTCGCGTCCATCTTAATTCCCGAACAGCAGTGTTTTGCCGTCGAGTGTCTGGAACTAAAAACGGACACTCGAGTAGGCGAACACCGCTGAGACCTCCATAGCACCGGGAAATCGTGCTAAAACTACCGACCGACAGGCCGTTCGGTAGAAAGACTTAATAGCTTATGGGGATTCCAGCGAATGTTGGATTACACACGGATGACAAGCTGTTCGGGACTTTTTACGCACAAACTAAGACCGTATCTCCCGAACGGCTGAACCGAATGAGCTGATTTTTGGATATATTGGTCCCCCAGAACCAAGCTATCTGGGGACACCGGATTTATGCTTGTACCCCAAGTATATGGGGTACATCCAAACTTATGTTCATTTTAATTATGTTATGTGGTTATCTAAGGGGAGGAGATGTATGGAATGTATATTGTGTTTATTGGCTGTGCTGTTAATTATGGGGTTTCTCCCTTGCATGGGCAGAATCACATAAAAGAATGTCTGTCATTAAAGCTAGAGTTCTTCTCGACCCTCAACACATAGTCTATCGCGTGATTGGAGGGGACAGCTATATTCACACTGGGGATTGCTATGCGCTGCATACTCCC